GGAAAAATTTAAGGCAATAAACAGTAAAAGTTGATTTATAAAAGATCATCCTGACGACATTTTTATCAGTGGTAGAGCCCGCTTTAACATCTTAGCACGAATTGTCCCGGCTCGTCCGGTGAAATACCACAACCACACAATACAGGCGTCAAGTGGAAGCAATTCCGTGTTTCGTCTGATGTGTGTGCGTCCCGGAGGCCTAATTTAGTCCTCTTTCCCTTCCCGCCCTTTATCAAAATAAATTTTACGCTACGTCCAAGAAAAAATTCTAGGAAAAGTAGGTTTAGACTTAAAAATATCTTAGATGTATCTAGTATTAATATCATACGTTTATAGTAACCATATAGAGGGCGCTAGTGGTGATAAAACATTATCTCGATTAAAGAATATTTAATCAATAATATTAGAGTCTGCAAAAATATTGTTAAGCTGAGATTTATTACTAAAATATTCACTAAACAATAGGTGCGTGTTTATAAAATTATTATAAATCTATTAACTACGAGTATTAGCTTCTCGTTGTTTAGTTTTTTAAAGTTTATGTAAATAAAGTTGATAGAAGAGTGTTCAGATGACCTGTGTTTAAATATACAACATTTGAAATAATCTCGCAATAGCGTACAAGACTTTTTACTTATTCTATATATTATATATTAAAATCAATTGCTGTTCGCTAGTCTCGCTAAAACTTGAGAACGGCTGAACGGAGTTATCTTATCTTAATCTTGAAATTTTCGTGGAGGTAGGGTAGGTTTAAAAGGTGAGAAAAATTCGAATGATTGCCGGAAACTAACTTATTTTTCATTTCACGCGGACAGAATCGCGGGCAACAGCTAGTATTGTATATTTTTAAAATTGTTTTATCTTTTTAACTTTAATAAGTTCTTTCATTAAATGGATACTTTTTAAATGGACTTTAAGTAAGCATTTTAAAAACAAAATTATTTTTAAAAAATTTCCTATGAAAGAAATACGTACTGGATTTAATTTAGAAAGAGCCCAATTTTCCGTGTTATTGTATGAATTCTACTATTCCTGGTAAAACTAAAAGCTAAAATTCATGGTATTATTTTTATTCTACTAACAATATTCATGTTACTACAGGTTTTAATTAATTCTTATTAAAATTTTCGAAGGCTAATTATATAATATTTGAGGGGTTTTTTAATCAGTTTATTAAAAGAGCTCATGAAAACACGCCTTGGAGTTATACCACCATCGGAACATTAATAAAAATACAATTTTCATTAAAATCATCATCATCAACCTGCCCTTATCCCAATTGAGGGTCGGCACAGTATATACTACTCCTCTATACATCTCTATCAGCCGTCATATCCGAATCTACCCCCTTCCTACGCATATCCTCTTTCACACATTCAATCTCATTACTTTTTTGCTTATATCATCATCATCCCTCCGCATAACATGTCCAAATCACGCTAATCTTTTACTGTGATACTTTAAAACTTCCTGTAATATATACATTTTTAACTTTATCCTTTCTTGTCACAACAAATCTATTAAAATGTTGATTCTAAAAACATACAAATAACATTGTCCTCGTGTAACTCGTGTCACTCGGATAAATAAAGAGGATTCACAACATTTGATTTACTCCGAAGTTGTTTTACGAAGTATTTCACAACGGCCTGACCAGGTGTTTGATAATAAAGCCCCCAGGTGTTTCACCTCTGTTAAAGTCAGATTCGCTAATTGAAGGAAAAGATTATGTTACTAGCTTCAGGCGACTGAAGAGGGAAGAGTTTGCTACTCATAAATTTGCTGCCATCAAAATAACATCGATAGGTATTTCAAAGCAATAAACATACCTTTTGTATTTGTCTTTTTTTATTTTTCTGATGATTTTTTACTTTTTATCACCCAGCCATTTCTTCTATAGGAGTTTTTGTTTTTATTTTAATACCCAATTTAATTTATTTTTTATTATTAATAAGCCTAATGTTATCTTCAATTTGCTGTTAGTTACACATATTATTACTTCTTTGCAAATTTTTCAAACAAACTTAGGGATATACTGTTAGGTTCGTATATGTTTGTTGCTACTACTGTTGCTTAATGATAATTTATTTAACTATTCAATACCAATATTTAATTATTATTACTAAGTGTTACTTAAAGAAACATATAATTCATAGTTAGATTCAATCATTGTAACGTAATTTTCAAAGAGTTACTTCATGTTGTGCAAATACCAAATACGTAATCAAAAATAAAAAAAAAATCAGAATCCAGCATGAAAAGCATCTCGACGTTGAGTAGTAAGTTATTCAACGGCATAGGTAATTCACACTGGTCCCGAACTAACGTTTCACAATTGTTATTTGTTATTAATTTCACGAACGATACGCCGGCTTTTAATGTTTTATAAATACGACGCATTGTTCTATAAGCGACACAATACCGTGCCGTGTTCGCGGCCTGCTCGAATCCGATATGCAACTACCTCGGCGCGCGGCCGCTGTCTGACGCATTCTTCGATGCAAGTAAATTGTCCGGATATTTGTTGGCAATTGTAGATTCTTCCATTATTCACAAGATCCTTTACTAGACTACTTCAATTTGTTAACTTCTTAATTTCAAATTCTACATGAATTAACCTATTTTAATCATAATTCATCACAATCTCCCTGCCTTACTCTCTGTAGGGTTGGTTCTACAGGTTTTTGCCACTCAGATCGATCTAATATTTGCTATTTCTCTCATTCCCTCCTTATCTTTTGCTTTTTTCTTTAAATAATATACATATAGCCTATACATAACCTATAATTTATTACTTTGAAATATATTAATTAAGGTATAGAGCAAATTTACTGTTTTAAATGTAGAGTTTTTATATGAATACAAAGAGAAAATGGGCTTTTGTAATGTTGGGGAACTGAAATCCAATATGGATATATCAATTTGTAGCGATCGGTGAAAACGAATCTGGCGTTATATAAAGTTAACCCCGCTTTTGTGAAGGGAAGTAGAGCCTGGGGCAGAATTATGTTATACTAGCTGTTGCTCGCAATTCCGTCCGCGAGGGATTAAATAAAACTTAATAAGTGGCCTATGTGTTCATTCAAACTATGTTCTACATATATTCCAAATTTCTGCGAAATCCATGCAGTCATGCTGGAGATATCTTCTAAAAACATTTTCACATTCACATTTACAATATTAGCAAGATCTCAATTTTGTTTCGGGTGTTATGTATTAATACATATAAATTACTCGTTAAAAAATAAACAACAAAATTTTGTTGTATTATAATATGTTTTAGATATTTATATAGAATTTAATTTAACTCGTGCTTTCCATTATAACGATAAAAATTGTGTATATCAAATTATAATTTTGAATTTATTGAAAATCGGTCTTGGTTATACGTCAATTTAAGTAACTGTCGCTCAGAGTTGTTAATTGATCGTTTACGTAAGACTTAGTGTAGTTCATGTTAAAGCATTAGGGAGAAGCAGAGCCTCTCTACGGACAATTAGGACACTAAGAAGTAGTAGAGTAGACACCCCTAACTTAGGGTAGGCACCAATCCCCTGTGATGAAGACTCAGTACAAGAGGAGACGATTGTATGTAGGTTGAATTTCTAAGTGCAATGAACATATGGCGTTGTATGATATCATTTTTCTCTACCGCACTTGTAACGGGACAAACACGGACATTGTTTATTATAAAAAGATAAATCTTAATATAATACAGCACGAACGTATCATACGAAATACAAGATTAATACATATTGTAATACTTGGAAAAGTTAAAAATTAACGTAAAACAATTTGAAAAGAAAATGGTTCTTGACAGATGGACGACAAAGTAATCCTATAAGAGTTCCGTTTTTTTCCTTTCGAGGTACGGAACCCTAACAAACTTTATTATAAGATGGTACACGATATATTCTCTCCAAATAGTCAGTATGTATAATATCAATAACAAGAAGTATATAGTACTTATTAATATTTAAATTCTAATTAATGAAATAAATTATTATTTGTCGCGTAAAAAAACTAAACAGTAAATTCAATTTTTTTTATTTTGTATCTTCAAGGTCAACCAAATATTCCATTTCTTTTAAGAAAAGAGGGCAAATGATAAGCGGGAATACCAAGGTGATAATTGACGCCCTATATGGATATCCGCAACACTAGAGAAATTACAGAACTTACCATGTTTGCATTGCCAAAACATTCGCACAAAAACATATTTCTATCTCAGTTTTCTCAAAAAGTATGAAAGTGACAACATTATGTTACATATGCTTTGGTATTAGAAATTGATGGTAAATTCCATAAAGAAGATTATTATCTTTTCGTCGTGTCTTCATTTGTTTGCAGTTATATGTCTTGTTAATAGTATTCTCCGTTAATTAATTTTAATAATGTGTATATTTTTGATTTGTTAACGTCTTATTTAACACCGCTTCAAGTAGGTTACGATCTGTGTGCTTGTTTAGTTACCTACAAAGCTAAGCGAAGAATTCCACGAAATCCATGTCGGGAGTCACGTACGCGTAAGATTGGCTAAATCTCAACAGTTAAATACAATAATACAATAATATGAACAGCTTTACAACAATTTCTGACGTTAAATGTATATACATCTTCCCTCATCCACTTCCCCCCTAAATTAAGCCCGATTTTAAACGTAAAAAGCAACAACGGGCACAAAAAAGTGCAGGTCCAAAGAAGAAACAGAACAGATATTCGTTTCTTAGTAATATATATTTTATTAATTATATAAATGGATGTTTGTTACGGCGTCATACCAAACGGATAAAGTACAGACTGAATAATGTAAAGAGTTACTTTTCATCCCAGAAAAATGTACGGTTTCTATTATTTTTTTCCTTGAACCAATTAAATAATACTAAATAACTCAGTAATTAAATAAAGACACAGTTATTCCCACGTGGATGACGTCGCGTGCAACACATAGTATGTATAATAACCTCAAAGATTCAATGTCTTGCAATATTCAACAGTTTCGTCGGCTTACGACACCCGGACCTGTATCCAAGAGAACAATGGCGTTAACGCGAGCTCCCAGAGTGTGAAACCTGACGAGGAACTATCGCGAGTGTACCAAACACTCACAATGCCAGGACTTTCCCGGGACGATACTGCTAACTCCAACAGGTAAGAGTGCTATAATTTATATCACATATACACAGTTGTTATTAATATCAAACAGACTTCATAACAATGAGTACAATTTAATATAATTACAAATTAGGTTAATAGTTGTTTTAACACTTTCAATGGCGGCAAATGCGATAAGTTTTATTTATTTATTATGTTTGAATTTAACTAAACTTTTTCATGTGTTTTCTTTGCGAATTTCTAGTTTTACTGTTCTAGAGTGACCTTATTTACTTTACCTATATTTGATCTGTTTATTATTTATTGTTATTTTTTGTGGCCGTTCCAGCAGCGACTCGAAAATTAAATCAAAGCCCACGACGCCGTCAAGCCCCGGAGGAAGCTCTTCGGAAATAAAACCACAGTCGACAACACCAACGTCGCAAGCATTGACAAAGCCACCCTTTTCATACGTGGCCTTAATAACAATGGCCATAGAAAACAGCCAATCTAAACGGGCGACGCTTAGTGAGATTTATGCGTACATAACTAAAGAATTCCCGTTTTTCGAAAAGAATAAGAAGGGTTGGCAGAATTCTATAAGGCACAACTTAAGTCTTAACGAATGCTTCATTAAGGTGCCACGAGAAGGTGGTGGGGAAAGGAAGGGGAATTATTGGACTCTTGGTAAGTTTGATATTTTGAAAATGTGCCTTCATTTGTTCATATTTCATTGATGTTTTTGTGCCCGTGTGCTTTGTAGCATTGCGAAGGTTAAGGTAGCTGGCGACCATAGACGATGCGAAATGCTGGCGATGCAGTGCGCGTTAGTTTAGATTAACGATTACGTTTGTGTCAGTTGAGTGTTGTTTTAGATCCGCAATGCAGGGGAATGTTCGAGGGTGGCAACTACAAGCGGCGTCGCAGGATGAAGCGACCTTTCCGGGCTACGCCGTACACGAAAACGTTGTTCGGCGACGGCTACCACGTGACTCACGTTGCTCAGCATGCCCATATGCAGTCTCTGCCGCTGAGCGCCAGGAATTACTTCGGTTCAAGTTCGCCGTATCCACCATCCTACCCGAGATATGACACGTGAGTCTTATATTTATTTATTAATTAAATTTACAAATGAGGTTCCGAATAGAGACCCTTTTAAAGGAACAATGGTTGCAAGAGTAGAATTTGGTTGTTATTCCTGGAGATCTGTTAAACAAACGACGAACTTACTCCGTTTGGAATTATGTTTAAAAGAAAAAGTATGACATATAATATTTTGCATTGTATTTCTATCACGATCTTTAAGCCTAACAACCCTTATAGACTCTTGGTATCAAATATGTTTAATCTACAAACTAGGCTCTTTACTTTTTATATTGTGTTGACTGGCAAAAAATATGGCTTTTAGAAAAGTAAGATACGTATAAAAAGTATAATCGAAATCTGTCCAGTGGTTTACGAACACATCGAGAAGTTGACAAACATCGATTTTCTTTATTCGACATTGTTCGCACTTGCTTACAGAAACTAGCAATAGGATCTTAATAATAACGGGTATTAAATAAAAACAGCAGATGATGAAGTTAAATTAATTCGTGATAATTGCAATATATTTTTTGTGGTACTTGTTATTGTCAAAGCGCGATAACCTCGGATATTAATGTTAACTTGAGGTTTTATTATTCAGTCACTCCCACTGATGTTTTTTAGTTTTATCTGCCATTGAAAGATAGAGAAATATCTTTGATGAAATATATGTACATAACATTGAATTTGCGCGCACAGATTCGTACACGAGGCCAAAGTAATACTTTTAAAAGTATACAATAGGTAATTATGATAGTTATTATTTCATAATTGGTTCTTAAGATCTTCATCGCATTTTTATATAATTACACAAATTTGATTTTGTCTACGTTCACTTACTAAAAACTAAATAAAATTACTTTTAATGCACTTAAAGAGACTACAGATTTCTAAAGTTAAATATTTCTTCCATTGCCTTTAAGAGTATTTCCTCCTCACGTGGCCTACATTTTAAAAGTTTCCATCCCAGTCTTGTAAATATCTTTCAAGCACGTATTTCAAAATACTTTAAAATATTTGTCTTCCAGTTGTACTGTCTTTTGCGTCAATATAAACTGATATTAGATCTTTACACCAAAAACTAAATTGCACTGACTCATTAGCTCTCAGAAATCCCCTTGTCAAACAGTCGTAATATCTTTGTCAAACTATAGTTGAATTGTCTAATTGTAGAGAGAACTAATCGTAATAACAGCGCCACTATAACCGGGTCAAATAAGTTTACTAAACTATACACATTTTATGCACATCCATTCTTAACTAGGTATAAAGTGGGTGTGTTTAATAGATTACAGTTGAATTCTAATAATACTTACGTTATTCAAATTGTGTGATATTCATAAACGAACCGTGACACATTATTACAAATTAATTATAATTGTTTACATTTCTCATACTAATGTTTACAAAACAAACGCTTATGATTTAGTGATATGTTCTTGTACTTCCCGTTCCCCATACCCGTGTGTCTTGAACTGTAAAGTGTTAAAGTGATAACATGCTGCATAACATGTTTGCTTTAATTGTATCTCAGGTACATCCAAACTTGACCTTGATATCAATTCGAATGTTGTGTCTCATTGCTACATCAAGAAAATAAATATTATTCATATAATGTGGTTGATACAATCGATATCTTCTTACTTATGTTTTCATTTATTCTTGTATCAACATCTTATGTTATGAAGGGAACAAAGTTTGATTTGTTGCCAATTATTTCATTTAAATTCTAGATTATATGTTGTGTACGTGTTGCATATCTTGTTTGTCAAGGACTATAAGGCCTTGAAATGTAGTATGACACATTCCACGATAGTGGATTCATCGTAAGAGAGTGGTTATATAATGAGCAGACCGCACCTAGAACTTACTAAAATGTACTAATAACAGAAGATCCATAATACCATGCTTTTCGCGTCATACAACGATGCTACTTAATATTAAAATCCAACCTTCTATGTGACATAGTTTAATGGTTTCGATATTCTTTGGTCTTTTGTCTTTTAATTTCCAATCCGCTAATGCGATGTAGCCATAATGGCGGATCGTGTTTTGTCATGTGACGATGCGCAGAGACATTTGAAGGCAGCAAAGCGTGCGCAGTTTCCCCACCTGAAAATCACTTGCGCAGACACACGCTCGAAGCAAACCACGAGCTACTAAACTGAATCTTTTCATATTAGTGGATATTCTGGATCTAAATGCATGTACGAAAGTCAAGTTCGTAGTCACGATCTAACAATAGTTGGCTGGCAACGGTGTGCCATTGGCCGAGCAGGTACGCTGGGCGGAGTCTTTACTTTATCTCTGCCTATTTATTCATAACGACTCATGAGATTGCGTTAACCGAACCGGTTCTATGCACACACGGCTCACCGTCTATATTAATTAGTTGTCACGCTCAAACAAGTTATGAACAATTTCAGAGGCGTAGAAGTTTACTTCGCTTATAGGTCCTTTAAGACATTAATATCGTGGTTAAGTAAGGCTATTTTATTTGTCCGACAACACGTTCTTAATGAGTCAGGTATTGAGATGACGGACTTAATATATATTTATCATGTTACATAATCGAATTGAGCTTATGTTTCTATATTATATTTGATAGGTAGAGTTAACAAATATAATGTATCACACTACAGTTAAGGACATTAGCTTCTTATTGACACACGACTACTGCAATAGAATGGGAATCAAGGCTTGTTTTTGTTAATAAATTAAAAAACTGGTCAAGCTCTTAGTAATTATGTTGGTACTTGGAGAGTCAAACTTAATGGTCCTAGAAAGATCTTCAGTTTGGATTATTACTATTACTAATTGAGGGTATAATAGGCTAGTGATGGGTCGGTTGTCAGGTAATTAAAATCTTTTATCGTATGACCTTTCCAATTAACAATATCGTATTTTATTTTCAGGACTTGGCTGACCCAGCCGCCAGGAGGTTTGAACTACGCGAGCGCGTGCGGTGGCATGGGCAGGAGTCCTCCAAGCTCCACTCATACATCTTTGCCTCACCAGCCGTCACCCGTCTCCGTCAATCCGTTCGCCTCGCATCAACTACAGGGCCAGGTACTACTACACTTTGTAAAATATTATTCAAAGTAGTTAGTAATATCATCAACTATGGTGCAAAGTGTATGAATGTGTCTTCAAATCAGCATGAAGGAAAATCTTACTTTAGTGGTTATTTAGGGTTAGGTTTATATGAGATATATTTTATTTTTTTAATTTTATTGGATACAAAATACAGTTTACAATCCCGCTCCTGTGACTGACCGTAGTATTTTAAAGACTCCGCTAACACCCCCCCCCCCTAAACGGGTAACGTAGTATGGGTACGTTCCCGAAGTAGTTAAGTCCACCAAAAAAATAGGAAGATAAATCTCAATTCTTTCTGGTCGGTGACTAATTTAAGATTGATTAGATAATCGTAAGATTTTCGAAGAGTACATAAATAATATTAAAATTATTAACAAAGTAAATGAAATAATATCCATATTAAAAATTCTCCGCTCCAAAAACATCATGTAATTGATGTTAAAGCTGCCGTACGTAACGATAAGGCGTATAGTTATTTTCATTTTCATCACCTAATCAAAGTGAGATTAAAATTTTAGTAGTGCATAAGCAATAAAACTAGGTGCTTGCAAATTGGCGTAATGACTACTTAATCCATTTACTAGCTTCATAAACAGTACAGAACTATGTTTCTTACATAAAATGCAACGTTATTTCTGATCGTTACTACGTTTTTAACATTAGCGATAATACAAAAGGCGTGTGAAAAAATACTTGCTTTACTTATGAGATTTTACATATCACACGAGAATACAATGTAAAAAAAACGTCATTTCTCGAATATGGGTTTGTTAAAGTACGTAGTATTTCATTTAAAATTTATATATCTTTGTATCTTATCCACGTAAAGTTATGCATAATATTCTCACCAAGTTTATTTTGTCAAAAATATATTTAACAAATTATTAAATCTAATGTATATTCAGAGCGAAGTGATTGAGAGTAGAATGAACAAGGTCAATATAAAGATGTTAATAAAAATTCAATTTTCCTTTCAGCTTCAAAGCCCTCTGCAGCCGATGCAGTCTATGTCTATGAACACTTACAACCAAATAGGAGTCGGCCTGGGTAGGTATCTTTATGATACTAGCTGTTGTTCGTGACTCGCTAAAGCGAGGACGGAGTCAAGAACACAAGAACACACAGTCAAGAACACACAGGCTACTTGTTTACAAGTAGCCTGTGTGTTCTTCCAGACTATTCTCTGCATCTATGACAAATTTCATCATGATCCATGCAGTCGTTTAGAGATATCTTCTAATAAACATCAATCCATATAACATTCCCATTTATAATATTAAGAAGATTTTACAGCTTGAAATTAAACAAAAAAAAACTTAAGTACAAATTTACCAGCATTTTGGAAGGGGGAAATTAACTTCAGAAATTTTCAATTCCTTTCTTATGATACGAGTATTTTCTTTATTTTCTATTTTCCGTCTGACAAATAGGAACACCGGGTAACATTAAAATTATCCGTAGGAGGTTCGAATAACCTCAAATTTTTCTCATACACAGAATCATTATTTTAAGTCCCCTTGAAAACTATTTTTAAACGATAAAAATAATTAAAGTAGAGCTAAGTATTTTATATAATAGTTTTATGTATATGTATAATGGGTAATTGAAACATAAATAATCATTATGTTACGTGAGAAATAATAATCATAATAATCTCACGCGAGTATCATCATGTTTTAATTCCAAGCATTTGTGTCACTCATATAGTCTTGTACATATTTACACGCTTTCTACAAGAACTACGTCTTTTCTAATTTATAGAATATAAGTTTTATGATGTGGTATTTCATGAAAGGAATAAATTAACTATGTCTTTACGCTAACGGAATATAAGAGTCAAGCATGTCGTCTGATTTTTTTAAAATAATTTGAGTGATGACGTTTATCGAGTACTAACTTAATTAAAAAACTTAATTAGTTGCCCATGTGTTTTTCCAGGCTATGTTCTATATGTATGCCAAATTTCGTCGAGAACCGTTCAGCCGTTATGGAGATACCTTCTAACAAACATCCATCTATCTAAACATTCGCATTTATAAAATTAGTAAGATATTTTGTCTAATTGTTTCGGCAATAAAAAACATTATTTTATTCATTCCTTTACATCAAATACAAACATTTACAACAATTATACAGAGTTCTTGTAGAGAACCAAGCACGGCCAAGACTTAGCAACATTTGTAATCTCTACCTACCTACCTTGAAGTCGACAATTGTGTTCTTGTTTTATTTCCAGACGGTTCCCCGAGTCCAGGACCAGGATATGGACCACCGGGTGCATTTTCACCAACACGACACCACGACATTGTGACATCATCCGACGGTGCCGCTGCGAGATTCTCATTCTGGCCTGAAGGTAAGGTTTTTAAATAGAAACATGTTAAGTTTATAGAAAGAAATCAGTTCTACGGTCTATTACGGTTACAGTGCTTGGAATCAGAACATATTTACAAAGATAAAGGCTCAATAAGGAGAAAAACACAATTAACAAGGAATAAATTGGAAAGTTTTTATTCCAGTAAATGGTAAATCTCTAAATAAACATTTTAGGGACTAAAATCAAAACATTAAAATAATTACCTAAAGTTTTTTATCTTGATTTTTGAATAAACTAATAACAATTACTAATTAAAAGTAAACCAAATTTATTTTATAGAATCGATGAAAACAAACAATTTAACTTTCAATAATAAATGACGAGAACAATAATTTGACGGAAACTTCGCTAATATTAATAACAGCATAATATTTTTTCCTAAACGTCTTCGCTTTAATTTCTACTTTTTAACCAAACGATTTTTCATTCAATTGTTCACTTAACAAAAATTATTTATTGTAAGCTCATAACAAACAAGGAAACGATTAATCTCTAGGGATCTTAAGGTTGGTTACTTTCTACGTAGCAGTGCAGTGAATTTTTAAATAGGTTTACTTGAGTATATAATGAGTAAAATCCAAGGCACTCAAAGAGATTGCATAATAAATTATCAATTATCATACTTGGTACAATATTTTGTATCATTGTCAAATAGTCTGTAGTAGATCACTTCTGAATAATGAGATTGAATGTGGGTGTACAAAGGTGTACATCATATCTATGTAAATAAGTTATATTACCAAAAGGCCGAACTATGAAATGATGCGGCGCTTTTGTTGCATGCGTTTCAAAAGGGGGACTAAGTTGGCAACAACCTGGTTGCGAGATACCCGACGACGTGCCGAGAGAGCCCGAAGAAGACGGTGAGATTATTTGAAATTTATTTCATAAGCGTTTACCGTCTCTTGAACCAGTAGATTTAGAAAGATATAATGGAACACACGCACATACAACATAGGGGTTACCATTTTGCACAGTCTTGGCACACTTAGATAATAATATGGGCATATTGCATTATTGTTAATAAATAGAATTAATCGTTCAGATAAATAATAGTTGTAACTAGCAGTTGTTTACCGTTTTATGTATTTTTTTGTACAACCTTTAGATATTATTTAGGTATTTTTAACATTGGACCAGCAATAATGTAATTCAGAGACATCTGTTGTCATCACATGTAAAGTCAGTTTCAACTGTTTCTCTTTTTTGTGGATTACATAACACAGACAATAGAGGGCGCACAAAATAAAAAATTAACTAGACTCAATTGATTAGTTCGTGTTAGTTAGATAAACACGGTAAGTTATTTATTTATTTTCATGAAATTTATTTAATGTATTTCATTATGATAATCATTTTTATATTCTTAACTAAGTTAGGAAGAGGAAAATTTTGTATGTAACTAATAAACTCAAAAACTCCTGGATTGATAGAAGCTTTAATATTTTTTTACGAATATCGTTAGATGCCTATATTATATTAAGACTAGTAGACTGACTTCACGTGTTGCATGAGCCGCAGTCGCAGTGGAACCTTGCGTTAAAATACACGGATCGGCAACAGGTGTACCTGGCTGAAATAAGGTCAACGCTCGACCCCTAAATAATTTATCATTCCAAAACTTACTAAACAATAATCTGACCTGTGTATAATAACTTTTTATTTATACTAACTTATGATTGCTTATGATTTTCTTTACCAATAAGATAATTTAACAATTCTACAAATTTATAATAACTCGGATATATTTTTCCATCTTAATCTTCCAATGACAATACTTCCCTGGTATAGTATTAAGTTAACAACTTAATTAAAAACCCTAGCGCACTAAATTGCAACGTCGTAGTACCATTCCACGACACAACATCGTAGTTTCTTACATAAAACAAACAACGTAAGCTTAGAAGCTTAGCTCTGTGTAAATTAAACTCATTCTTTGCTATATTAGACATGTTTATTGCTGCAAATATAATAGATACGTTTTTACAGACCACCATAATATTATAATGGATGGTCAACGCCTATTAACTCCTAGCTGTCGTCCGCGACGCCGTCGGTACGGTATTAAAAAAAAGCTTAATTAGTAGCACATGTGTTGTTCCAACCTAATTTCTACGTCTATGTAAAATACAGCGTGATGCAGTCTTCCTGGAGATACCTTTTAATAAATATCAATTTATTTAAGCTATAGCTAGCTTTAGACAAGGTTCCGAAGATACTGGCAGTGTTCCCCCTGTGAATCGCAATTTATAATACTAGTAAGATAGTACGATTTGTTCAGAATTTATTGTTCTTGCATTATCAATCTTTCAGAAGGGGTTATCAATCAACAGATTTGTATTTTCTTGTTTTTTTTTTGTCAACTAACATTTATTATAGATTAGAAGTGCTAACATGGAGTCAATTATCGTAACTAACGATCTAAAAAATCACAATATTTAATTGTATTTGTTAAAAAGTACATCAATATTTTTCGAGTATTCTTGTTTTTTTTTTTACAGCACAATTATAAGATAATATTCAAATGTAGTTAATATTACATTTAATTTTTTCATCTTCATATCGTCTACAATAAGGCTTAGTCTACACTATTTTTTTAATAGCACTTTAAAATAAAGTGTGCGTTAGGCTTTAATGATAATATTACTGGGTCTATCATTGAAGTGGTTTGAAAAACCTTTAAATAACGCTTTCCATGCTACTACTATTATATCCAACTAAATGGGGAAAATAAATGGTTTGACAGCATTGAACGTTTGAAAGATGTTATGTTATTTCTTAAATGTTTATTTTATAACGCTTGGACTCATTTGGATGTAGAGTTGTTAATAATATGTGTCTTTTCCAGCGGGCTCACCCAGTCCCAACGCTGGTTATGTGCCATCAAGCAGTTACTCTCCAACCCGCCGTCACGAAGCAGTCACGTCCTCGGAGGCCGCAGGACGATTCGCGTTCTGGCCGGATGGTAATAACCTAAATTTTAACGGTAAATAATTACTATCGTAACACCCTTATGAAGGCAATTTTGCCATCCCATTCATTCTCTTTGAAAAATACAGAGAAAACAATAGTTTTAAATTAAAAGTCACTCTCTTTGAAATTCGCAGTAACTGTTGTATTACATCTAAAGTGAATTTAAAGTTGTAAATATATAAGTAAGACACCACGAACTTATTATTTCTTTCAAGCGTAATCGAACCACAAAGGTTATTTTATATTAGATTCGATTTCACGTAAGAAGGTTATCTACTGAACGCTTCGCCGGAACAAATCCATGCCAGTATTTTACAAAATTCTACTTCTATTCCTCTTTTCTTTTGCAGTTGTGTGCTATAATAATTTCGATTGTTCGATATTTCGTTTCAGTTGGTGTAAAAGAAGAATCATCGTCAAGCCTCATGTCCAACGGGGCACCATATTCGAAATGTTTTATGTAAATTTTAAAAACATAGGGGAGCACAAGACTATCCATTGTAATCTGCACTCGTGTGAAATGTAAGACGATAGAATGGAACTTACAATAAGAAAATTACACTCGTTGTTAGTCATTTATGTAAAAAAAAAATAATTAAGGTAAGTATGCATTTTTAGGTATTTCACCTCCTTAAATGCATACTTTGTATTACAAAATACAGATTTTACTATTAATTTCATGAAAAAAATTCTAAGGTCTTTTTCTGCGATCGAAAACAAAAAAAAATGTAAATTTAGGAGAAAAATTTGGTACTTAACTTTTGTAAAAATATACTTATATCGTCGCCAGCCTAAGGTACTTTTGAACGTTTGCCTCCACCAATGATCTCCACAATGCCCAGTCTATGCCGCCCTTAGCCAGCAAACTCCCGTTAAACCGGAATCTGTATGTAGCCGCTATACCAAAACTTTCTTTGAAATTTAAACTAAAAAAATAATCTTCTGGCAAGAAAATCGTTACATTTAATTTTTCAATTTCTTATTTAGCTTTAGATATATGTAATAAAATTTTGTATTTTGTAATAATTAGTAGTACCTAAGTTTTCGTAAATTTCTCAGGACTAGTTTATAGTTTTTATTTGCCATGTATGCGATCTCAACTTGTTTTAGTAAAACTGGCAAGTTGTTGAAAAGTAAAATTTCCATTTATCAAAATTATGAAAATAATATTGAAAGGCATCAATTTCTTTTCAGTTTAAATAATCCAAACGGAATAATTTGAAATTCGAACGTTTAATATTTAATGATATACCGATTTAATATATAAGATTAAATAAATATAATATATAATAACGATTTTACAATAATTTCTTCCCTTAACAAAACATCTATGTATATATTTCTGTACTTAAATTCTCATGCGTCATAAATTGAGAAATGAACATAGTACAGTGTTACAGGACATAGCCGGGGAATTGCATTTCATTCAAAATTTATAATATATTTAAAGTTTTTGAAATTTCATATTTATGTAAATTAATTTGATGTGTGTAAATGTTGTGTATCTCGAAATGAAATGTGCATGACAATAATATTCTGTTCGTAATTGTATTTGTCGATGTTAAAAATTAGATGTTGTTAATATAAGAAAATTCTATTAAGGTGATGTGATTTATATTGTTGTTTAATTTAATTTCATACAACTTTTGCGCACACACTGGCTTACTATTTGTTCGTTAAACAATGATTACCTAATTACAAATCCCGATATAATCTTTTAAATAATAAAACAACTGTTAATATAAATAATTTTAATTATTAATCAATCGATTACTCGACTAAAATAAATGCCAACGTAACGTAAACAAATCGTGTTTTGTTTTATTACGTTGGCATTTGTTGTATAGGCTATTTATTAGAATTGGTGGAATTAAATTCACTAGTGAGATAATTAACTTTAGATTTTAAATTTCGAACATAAATCTCATAACGATCATTATATTCGATAATCAATTAATTAGATAAGTTGACTTTATCCGGAAATATTACACGATATAAGGCAAAGCTATGAAAATAATTGTTATTTGTTGAACGAACAATAAGAATGTCAGTTTTATGTGTGCAAATGATCATCATTTCTTCATTTTTCCACTAAACATTAGAATCGAGACAAATAAACGTTTCCCTTTTATTTTAATGTGTACAAAACTCTTTTATACAGATTCAGCAATAATTAACTGACTGATTATTCTATGAATCCGTCTATGAGTCATGAAAATACAATCTTATTTATTAATTATCCAATATTCACTCTATCTGCTGTAAATATCTTCTATTAAAGGTAAATAAGATATCTTCAAATGTAGTTAAAGTTAATTTTTATATCTAAAACAATTATATGATAAAAACAATTAGATGTTTTAAAAAATTGTTAAGTTATAAATTTTCGAAATAGTCAATAAACTCGAAATATTATAGTTTTTAATTACCGTAAGTTATGCACTGAAACAAATTTCTCTATTTTTTTCTGAAACAAACAAAGATTACGTTTTCATACTAGTGGAAACTCACGGCCTTCATGTTTTCTTATGAATAGAAAATCAGTCAAACACTTATTGCTAATCTTGTATAAAGTTCTAGTTATAGGTTCTTTTTCGGTCTCTCGATATCATAGTTTTTTTTTAGTTTTTATTTCATGTCTTCAGTTTTGATTTTTTCCTTGATGTCGATAAAAATGTATGCAAAACAATAATTCTTGTTCAATTTAATTGGTCGTTTTATTAGCCTACCACATGATGCGCTTTGACGTATATATCCTAACTAATCCGACTAATATTATAAAATGTCAAGTTATTTGACTCGGTGGGCTTCTAAATAAATTATGGTAGCTCAATAGGGCCCTCCTGTTAATATCAAACGAGTGTCACGATTTCCTTTTCGTACTGTAGCTGTCATGTATTTTTTCTTTTATGCCATTTTCTTTGTTTATGTAGTTTTTATATGTTTTATGACAGCACCAACCCACAGCAGCGCCTCGCCGGGCTTGACATACTTGTTTGACTATACGCATTTAGATCAAATAAAAGGATGTCTTACTATGTAGATGTGTTCCAAATATGAAAACGTAATTTATATGGGTTTTATAGATTCTAAGATTCTATTTTATAATAGGTTTTAATTTCTTTACTCTGGTTTATCCAGCCATCATACAGTACAGTTTTTCGAGGTTTAATTACGTAAGTTTACCATGTCTAAGTCTGAATACAAACCTTAACGGTGGTAGGGTTTCAGCAGAATTAGGTGATGCACGATGGTCCGTTTGCCCGGTGCAAATAGTCCTCATAGAGCAAGACAGCTATAAATTACAAGGCATTCCGCGTTTCGTGTGTATGTACCTAAGACCGAATTCTAGACTTTTTCCCTTTCCTAACCTTTTCTTGTTCGGAGATAATAGGAAGGGGAATTGGACTCGAAAGTGTTCACCCTTTTCGAGTCCAATTCCTAAGCATAGGACGGGAAATCTTACTTTCTTTACCCCTCTTCAATTAATTCCTGTCAATTTAAGGAAGGAAACGCTTATGCAACACCAGTTCACCAGTATCATTTATCTTAATCTTGTCTTACTCTTCTCTTAACATAGGAAAATACCAAACAAACTTTTTATCAATTAAATAACTTTATTTCGTTCACTTCATTATTCCACAATCGTCAGTCTCACAGACTAATTTCATACCAAAAATGAATGTCAATTTTATAAGACATCTGTATATTTCTACAAATATTTTCTTGATAATATATAAATTGTGATATTCTTTCTACCAATAGTAAAATATATTTTATTTATTTTAAATATATATTATAAAATGATATATAAGTACAATGGTTACAAAATATCACTTTTTCTCTACGTGTTTGAAGATGTTACATTTATGTTATTATAAATTTTTTTTTCTTAATAATAGTAATCAAAAAATGCTACATTTTTATCAAAAACCAGTTATAATATTACAAAATTACTACGCATTTATTATTAAAATATCTAATAAAGTCAGCTTTTATTCAAAAATATACTACTTTTGTGCATTTCCAACTTAATTCACCGTACAAAACGTTATTACATGCGTCACAAAAATCTATTGCATACTTCTGACGTTAGAGATGATATGTCGCTTACGAATGTGAGTTTAAACTGGCGAAAGTTTAGCATTAAAACATATTGACGTCCATCTCACCCTATAAGAGATAGACAGAGTTAGTAACAAGTTTTATGGTTGTTTCAGCAGAGAACTACCATTGTTAATTCCTCGTTTAACGTCCAGTTAAAACATCTAGTATAATGCATTATCTTATTCTGTTTTTTTTTTAAATATTTATACATTAAATATATTAATTGTCAGACAGAATTTTAATAAACTTGTCCAACTTTGACAAGTGATATTATTTACGATAAAATAACGAATGACTTTCTGATAACAATACTTGAGGGTCTGACAAATAATTTGATAAAGAGGATGACGTGTGAATAAATTTAATTATAAATAACAACATACGGACAAAGAATATTTGTTATCAAAAAGATATTTTCTCTTTTGACTTTTATAATTTATATTACTTGAAAATCTAAAGTCCTCTACACCGTTTGTAGAAATACAAACATATATATTATTCTTTATAACTAATAAATATCTTATTTTATTAATTAACTATCTTATTTTATTAATAGACTTTTTTGATATAGATAATTTGGTAACTAAGGGTAAACGGACTAAGGGAAACTCTATTATTTCGACGAAAAATAACCGTGGATTTCTAAGACCTAAATCCCCGATTAAAACATCGTCAAAGATAGGGTTGACGATATTTTTATACCAGTTTTTTGTGGTCTTAGAAACGAATGGTCAGTTTTTCGACACAATTGACTGATCACAGCAGTGACATTAAATCTGCGGAGATCCTTTTTTTTTATAATAAATCTAAGAGTAACTAATAATACCAAGCTGTTCCTTTTTTATTACATATATTGCGTTCTTTCGCCGCACGGCAAAAAACCGATATGAGGGACTTGCCCTTAATCTTTGGTTTGGCAATCAAGAATATTTTAAAATTTACTAACCATATAATAATTTTAATGCCAAATTTATTAATTTATTTAAGTTAATACATACTCTATACAAACATATAAACGTAATCAATGTTAAAATTTTATGCCTATCTCTTGACATACTGAGATATGGTGCCAATCCATAAACAGGATCATATAAAACTCTACATGCAATGACTGCCGTAAAAGAAAAAAATATGACAGTACTTAGAGATCACTTTGGAATGAAATATCAACCTAAAATTTATATGAAAAATTAAAAGTAGTTTTTAGGTAAATATAATTTACGAAAATGAATAATACAATTATGTACGTGATTTAAAAAACAAATCTTAAAGAATCGAAACAAATCATGACATATTGTAGAGTAAATTAATAATCAAGTAATTTAATCTAAAATCTAAACAATAACCAACAATAATTTATTTTATTTATTAAAAATAATAAAAATAAAACATGAATAATTTTTATTGTTCTAATTAAAATGCAATTGCATTAATTTATGAAGTCAAAAAATATTGTGTAAATATTTGCGTTATTATGGTATTACAACTCATATTCCCCCTATTTGTTTTCACTTCGATATATCCTTATGGATTTTCTTAATGCGTAACGACTTGCTTCGTGGTTCCGGTGGAAAATGTACGAGTCCTGGTGTTCTTTCCACACTCAGTGAGTAACCACGTTCCCGTAAGGGATGGTTCATAAACATCGTAGTAGATCGTGGAGAACTAATAGGTGGACCAGAACTTGAATCATAAACCTGAACCACATCGCTCCTCAACTCTGAACCATCAGCTGACGTATCATCTGAATCGGAGTCTTCATCGTCCGATTCGATTATCCTAAAAATTGTTTTATGGTTTTATTGGTGTCAATAAATTAAATATTATCATTCGCTTTGCATTATTATAAACGAAAAAATCGGTACATAACAATAAGTGCATGAAATCAAATTCGCATTTAAATGCTATTAGGTGTAAGTGTAAATCATCTTACCTAACTTCAAGTTTGTTAATCCTCTGCTTTATTTTAGCTTGTTCCTCGCCGACATCAGCGAGAAGTCCTTGGAGGCGGTTATTCAACATCTCGACAGTCGTCTCAAGTTTGTGGACAGTTTCTTCCAAACTTTGTTGGGTAGTTTGAGCATTTTCAAAGACAGTTTCATCCAATAAACCATCCTAAAAAATGTTGATTACCAGAAATTATTTAGATATTATTTTTTTAAAAGAACAATAATATTTCAATGAAAGAACTTGTAGCGAACTAACCTTTCTTAGTAATTGACAGCCACGTTCCGTAAGAGTAGCCCTTGCATCTGGATAATCCGCCAGGGCTTCCCAGAGATCCCGTTTTGCCAAGCAAAACAGATCTGAATAGCCAAGAGCGCGAACATTTGCCGTTCTTCGATTTCCTGTGCGATTCCCAGCTATTTCCAAAACACTCACTTCTCCAAATACTGACCCAGCACTTAGTGTAGCTAAAACAGTCTTCCCATCATCAGCAACCACTTGAAGTCGTCCTCTTTTAACTATATACATTTCTTTGCCAACATCCCCTTTCCTGCAGATGTAATCACCGGGGCTAAAGACTTGCAGCCTTAACTTTAAGACTAGCGCTTCCAATAACCCGGGTTCACAATCTTGGAATATTCTCACTTTGCGTAAAGTTTCCAGATGTACGCGTATAGCTATTTCTGCCTTTAGTTTATCAGGCAAAGATGACAAAACATTCTCTTCATCCAAAGCTCCGCTTTGGGCCCAAGTATACGCGAACCATCTAATAACTCTCGCCTCTAGTTCACCACTAACTTTCCTGAATGCCATGTACTGCTTGACGCCGTCCATTTTATTTTGGAACTCAACTCTAGCCACATTCATATTGGAAATCATTGATCCTATATTTCCTACAATTGTGGCGAAGATTAGCACTCCTGCCAAAAAGTCGGCAACGACAAACAAATATTCAGCATCGATTTCAGGCTGTGGTGTTTCTCCAATTGTTGTCAGAGTTAAAGTGGACCAATAGAAACTGTATATATATTGATGAGCGAGTGATTCATTACGCGCACCGGTCAGATTATACACCCAGTTATCAGTACCAAATCCAATAGCATAGCTTATTGCGAAATATAGGCAAGCATTCCAATGTATGAGAACTAGAATTGCCATTACTACCTGTGAATTTATAAACAAATGAATATATCCAATGTACGATAAATATAGGCATGTAATCAAATAAATTAGACTTAATTTAGTCAAAGTACCTTGCATATTCTGAAAGCGTTGGGGTAGCTGGTGGCGGTCTCTGTGCGGTCGAACCACTCCCACATTCGAGGCAGTCGAAATAGTCTATTCAGTCGTACAATAACAGGGCACGGCAAACGTTGCTGTTATACAAATAATGTTGACATATTCAGGTATTGACCAGATTAGTTACCATACGTGTAAAAATAAGATTTAATTAATTAACAGTAGAATTTAATACTTACATAGTCGCATGTACCGGGTTTCCACCAATAATAAGCGATGTCCGTTGGTATCAAGGATATGAGGTCGTACCTCCAGGAGTCTGATTTCAAGTAGTGTTTCCTAAGCATTGCTGAATCCTTCACCATAAGACCTTGCTCTAGATAACCTGGGAAAACATACTTTTAATAATTTGTTAACATCCAATAGCAAATTAAAATAAATGACACATTTATAAAGACATTTTTCGCATAAGTATTAAAATTAAATTGCATTAAGAGGCGCCAGATTAGAATAAATTAGGGAATACTCATCGATCACCAGTTAGAGGCGATTGTGTCACGAAAGCATTGCTATATTTGTGCGGAAAAAGCAACTAGACAAGGCCGCGTGTTTGTCCACATGTTAGCTAAATTTGATGACGCAAGGCGCGGCCGTACGCGCCGTGTGGGTGTCAAACTGTTGATTTGTGAGTTCGTTCCGTAAGCAACCCTCGTAACTTGCTTCTCTATGACTTCTATTGATTTAAAAGCACCTTATCTTGGAGCCAAACACGATGTTACATCCGTTTACATACAATACATACAAACCTTCAGTAACGTCCTCGACTCGATTGATCTGTCGCAGTTTTAAATACAAAAATCAAGGAAACATTAATGCAGGTAGACCATCAAAATATCCTTACAGATTCGCACAGAAAATGGCACAGTAAATGCGCACAGCTTCGCAAAGCTTATTCAGTACAGGTATAAAAAGTCCAGGACCCTTAAACAATCACATACCTTCGTGGACATGAATCACTGTATCAATGAGATAAATAGCATCACAAAGGTAGTCCAGGACGAACCACAGTACTGTGAGGTTGTCTAGTTCCCAGAAGACAGCTCGTCCGATCACAAATACCACGTTGTATAAGATGGCAAGTGACACCACCGCTAACCACTATGGGAACACAAGCATTAGTTAATAAATGAAAAAATAAAAAATAAAAATTGAATGATACTAAATACAGAATTAACATAATTTCTACCAAAAAGTTATAAATCATAGAAGAAAGAAGTATAAAATTAAGATTGTTATATGAACAATATTAACCTTTACACAATATAAGTACATTAGTTGTTTAACACACCTGCACGTCACTAGTACATAGCAGATGCCTATCGGCAACGGCCACACCGCGTGTTGACTCGCGTGCATCGTGGCCAGTGGCCTTCCATAAAAAAAGTAAAGATGTAGAATATTTTATCCTAAATACAATAGCGCTTAATCAAAATATCACCTAGTGTCAATCGGTGATGTGGTTCAAAGATGAACGCGCTGACTTAATATTTGTTATTCACTATTCACCGTATTCTTAAACGCACTCGCATTATAGATGGACGGAAAAATTGCTACCGGCAGCTTATTCCAATCCTTTGCTGTGCGTACGAGGATTTATGATAAAAATCGTTCGGACCCGCGGTTGATTAACAATGAAAGAGGAGGGAGACCAGCTATATGTGCCTGCGTCTGGTCATAAAAGGGGGACGGGGGAATGAGTTCCATTCATTCCTGAGTAACGTCAATGTACGTACATGATAATGTGTTGGCAACGTTGGATCAAATGCCAATCTAAGACCGCAAAGAAGCTTCGATCTCTTCGTTTGATACAACGGTTCATCAGGATCTGAGAACGTCTGTGCTGCGAACTTGTCCAGGAACCAGTCAGGGGGTTTGGTTCGACCTTCTCCGGTGATCCGGTACCGAAGGTTACGGGCGAACCGAGAAACCTGCCTCTGCATCCAGCTTGATCTTGGACCGACATCACTCACCGCCTGAACAAAAATGTTAAATTTACACTTCGCAAATTACATTTGTCCTGAAGAACTTACCTTTGAAATGATCCTAAGAAGACAGATAATGTAAAAAATATTGCATGCAAGTTTATTTTATTTTATAAGTAGTTTATTAAATTCAATCGAACACACTCACAGTCGTAGGCAATCTTATCCACCAGTCACTGGGCTGTTCGATTCAAAAGTTTGTAAGTTTACAAAGATTAATATTGAAGTTTATTTATGTAAGTGTATTTATTTTAACTCACTGTTTGTTTTTTTTGTTGCAAGCAATTTAGTTTATTCACATGTAGTCGTTAATATGAATGCACTTTAACTATCGGGGGACTAGTTGTGAACATCGGGTTAATCGTATAGTAATCAATTTATCCAATCATTAGATACAATCTAAGCGTGGGTTGCCACTCCCTAAACATTTGTACGAAAAACATTTTATTTGTCTTTTTTTTTTGGGAAAGTTAAAGAAAGATATTACTATATACAGATGTCCGAGAAATACAACGGAGTACCACAGATTCCTTGGTGAAAATATGACAATTAAACAACTTTTGAAAGATAAACCAAAAGTTAACCATCAAAGTATATCTTATATATAAAATACTCATGTCACAATTTTCGTTCCCATACTCCTCCGAAACGGCTTGACCGATTCTCATGAAATTTTGTGAGCATATTGAGTAGGTATTGAATCGGCCAACATCTATTTTTAATCCCGCGACAGCTAGTATGTTCTATAAATAAGTATTATATATTAGTTAGGTGTCTTCTATACCGACAAGTCTTCAATGCACGTGCACTATAAGATTGTTACTATCCCGTTCATTCATTCATTAATATTCACGCTAAAGGCTCAATTTGTCATCGAAGACGAGATTTGTATAAAGAAAACTGATTTTTATATTCAAAGTACTCTGTGGGGCGAGAAGACTTGAATAGAATTTGGAATAAGTATCGCGTAGTCTGGTTGTTTGCTGAACTATGAAGGCGTGGTCCTTGTCCGGCGTGCGTACGATATTATACTATCCTTGTAGTATGGCTCGACCTCGTTTAATTAAGCTGAAGTAATAACTTCTATTGTTCCAGATTACATACACGGATAGTGTGATCTTTAATTACTGATTGCCGAATATTGATCTATAAGGTTTTGTGTGCAAAAATATTATTTCCTACCGTCGTTTTTTGTAGTCCGTACTTCCCGAATGTGCCCATTTTTATGTCTAAAGTTATGTCATATTAAAAGAAATATTTGGGTTGTATTTACGTCGCTTATAAGGAAAATCATTTTTTAAAATTTTTGTCTTTCTGTAAATTCATGTTTGTTCCGGGTAAGCGGTACCGATTTCGACGGGGATTTTACTGTAAGAGAAATTAGGATATTTTTTTTATTTTCGCGGGTGAAATACGTAGGTGATGTTTTTTTATTTAATTACTGTCTATTGATCACTACTTACTTGGTCACATTAACGTTGTGTTTGCCTTGTGGAAATATTTGTTAAAATACTATTTATATCCCTGTTTCTTCAAAGAGAAAGACAGTGATGTCAATGTGTTATTGAACATGTATTGTCAGTGGAAACTGTGTCTTCACCATTCAAAAAAGTTTTGAATATTATTATTGCCGCCAATTTTTCTTGATGAAATAGCATGGACGTGCATCGTATATTAATTACACATACCAAGCTACCTTGATGATATAGAATTTTTCAATTCGAAACACGAGACATTTTATATATAGCTTCCTCGTCCCAAAAAGGTCACGATTTTCCTTATGGTTTCGAAATAGCTTTTCTATTGTTATAAAGTGAGGACGTGATCTGCTTAGTATCGATGGCAACAGATCAACAGCTGCACAAACAGCTTCATACCTGCAACCGCTAGACGGAGCTGTACAGATAGCAGTTTATTATCCTCATAATCAAACGAACAATAATATGGTACTTACTCGTATAAATAAGTATAAAAACAAATTCGTAGAATGCGATTTATCAGAAATTAATCAAAAAAATTGACGGGTCATAACAGACCGTAGAAGAAACCGAATCAGCTTTAAATGTACGTCAATAAAAAAACAATTAAATGTCAAGTAGTAACAAATATGACATCAGTAACGCGTATGTACACCCTGACAATGTACTTAGACAATCGAGCGACGTATTATGATTAGAGAGTGTCTAATTAACTGAGGGTGATCGGAAGGATGTTGACAATATTTTTATGTGCTTTTAATATTCCGACTCCGTCTGCGCGGAATTAAAAAAAAAACTTTATTAGTAGCTTATTTGTTCTTTCAGAGTATTTCTACATCTATGCCGAATTTCATCGGGATCCGTTCTCCAGATACCTTTTAATAAACATCCATCAGTCCATCAAAACTTTATACTATTAGTAAGATGTATACGGCGGTCTTGACCACGATCTTGATGTTCAATATGGTGGAAAACACACTAGTTGGAACTGGATGGCTCTGGAAATACGTAAATTTTTCACAATTTCCCGTCGTTTTGCAAAATGACTAGGCATAAAATAAACTGCCTTCGTTAACAATGTGACGGTGACATTTAAACAACAGGTGGGCTAAACGAAAAGCAACAAGTTGAGCTACCGGCGTCGACGGAACTTCGATACGATATTGCTATGACGTTTCGCGTTGTGAAGGTTAGTAACCTGGGTCAAGTTCGAATTGAAGCGCTATTATTTTACTCATTGCGAGAAAAACAAAGTACTTTAATAGTCGACAAGAGGGTCTAGGAAAACAAATTCCAATAATTATAGCAGAAGAAACGAAAACGCACTTCTTTAACTTCGCAATATTAAAAGAAAACTATCATAGATTTTTCATTTCATTCTTCTTCCTCTACCACGTAGTCAAAATAAAAAGTTAAATACCTTTATACTTTTTTAAATGTTGTGTCAATACCATTTTAACGTAGTCGTAAATTGCAAGTATTGTAACAAAGATGGCGGACTGTATAACAGACAGGGACGGTCCACTTGCGACGGCCATTAAACGCGGCAATAATTACTAGCGTCTCTATTCTTCTACCCGCCAGCCACGACATTTGAAGTCAACACAGTAAATAATATTAGTATTAAGTACTAATCGATTTTACTCGTAGAAGACAATATAGCGAAACTTTCAAAGCATTACAATGCTATTGATAAATTGAACTTTTAATGCCGAAATCAAGTAGCTGTTATAATTTTAAATTTGAAAAGGACACTATAGATTAAAAAAAGATGATACAATTAAGTCATCATCGTCGTCATCATCTTGTCGCCATTCCGTTCACCCAACTATATCCGTCACTTCAGTCGTCCCTTCCTAATCATGAAAAAAGTAAAAAGGTTTATATAAATGGATGGATGTTTTTTACTAGGTATCTCCTGAACGGCTAATCGTAATGTTTATCATAGATGTCTTCAAGAACATATAAGGCAGTAATTAATGTTTTTTAAAATCGGCGCGCAGGGAGTCGCGCGACAACTATTAATAAGAATGTAAAAGTACGACTTTAATAGAAAGAAGGGCTGGATAAAAGTAAGCAAGTAAGATAGAGTTCGGATACTTAAAACATTTAACTTAGGGTCATAGTTCGTCTTTACAGATGAAAAAAGCAATAAAGATCTGCATGACTGCTGCTATTATTTGTGGAGTTATATTAATAACGATAAGTCAGACAATTGTACAGAAAAAGACGGCTACACGTTATAGAACCCTTACTGATCGCGGTTAATTTTATTTATTATTTGTTATAGTTATGATAAATTAAAAACATAAATTGATAAATAGCAATGTCACTTACCGGAGCTGTGTTGTTTCCCATTGGTACTTTATGAATGGCGTAAACTGGACTCATGTTCACAAGCTACTTGGTCAGCGGACAACTCTAGTCTAATTTAAACAAACACTTGTAGCTATCACTATTTTGCAATTTGAGGAATTTGAACGCAAAAGAAATTGAGTCATTAAGACTCTTCAACAAAGTGAACACGGATCGGTATCAGGTAATTGTTTAGGTGGTCCGGTCACGACATCGCCTGATCGTGTGTATTAAAAGAATTCAGTACAGCCGCTGCGCGGTAGATGATAATTAAATGATTGTCACTAGTTTTACTGAATAAAAGCACGCTTAAGAACTTTAACACGACAGCTGTTGTCGCGACAGACGAATTGTGAATGATCGCTAGGACTTAAAATTAATGGGTAGTCGGTGCGTGTTCAAGGCAGCTCCATCGAAACAATAGGCCATGAGGATTGCTACAACGCTTCCCTATGTCACATTTATGACGCGTTCACCGTAGTTTCTGTCATAAATAGTGATTGCCCGACCACCTCCGTAGGACTTAATAAGCCTAATTGCCCCCTTTAAAACTTAATGTATTAACTTGATCAAGTTTTGACGTCTAAACGTTATATCATTGTTTGCATTGCAATTTTAATTGAATTAATAAATCAACAGCTGGTATAAAAACTTCTTTCACTTTTTTCTTTAAAAGCTATTATACTTCTGTTATTTTCCTATTATGACAGTTTTGTAAACATCTTCTTAATTGTATTGCAAATTGCAACACATTCAGAAACACCATAAAAAATAATACACATAAAGTGACGTATGGTTTAATAAAAGAGCTAATTTTAATTTGAAATAATAGACAATTAAAAGAAGCAATCAGTAAGTGGACATAAATGACTCCAAGGGTTTATACTCCGACTCAAGTAGTTCTTTAGTTTTATTTGCGATAGTTGAGGCTTTCTGCGTACACCATCAGGTCGGGGTCGCGCCCTTGTGAGCGGTCGTACTTTCGTATGGAAGCCACGTCTTATACAAGGACCGTTTATATTTGCCTGTACATTGTACGGGCAACGTTTCTTTTTGTCAATGTCGCACATTTATTCTATTTTTAGTATTGCTGTTTATTACATTCGTTATTTTTTATTTAATTGGATAAAACACACAAGTTTCGTATCATTTATGTTTTATGGCTTTCTCGATTGACGTTTATTAAAAAAGTTTTTTCTATCTTTTTAATTATCTTTTAACTATGCTCTTAATCTACACTTACTTGGATTAAAATGCATATTAGCAAGTAAGGATTTACTTATGTTAATGGTAACTAACTAAATATTTATTTAATTATGATAGAGAATATTGGTTTAATAATATTCATCCCTTATTAGCCAAATCAATATTTAAGTTAAGTGACCCCTAACTAAGGGTAGGCTCCGAGTCCCTCAGTGGGAACGTGTAATGAGCTGATGATGATTATCAAAATAAAAAATAATATGAAATCATATTATTTTTTATGAATCTTACTAATATAAATGCGAAAGTTTAGATAGATGGATGCATGTTTTTAGAAGATATCTTCGGAACTCCACAACGGATCATGATGAAATCTCACACAGATCTGGAACATAGTCTGAAATACATGTCCGATGACCCTATCAGTTAGCTCATAGAAATAACGCACAGAACTGGAGAAATATGGATAAAAAAATTGTAAGCGGTTGAATCTACAATAAACAAACGGTGACCCAATAAAAAGGTAATCAATCTTCATTACACTAGCAGTTACAACATGAATATAAACGATTGTAATACTAATAACCAGCATCGAGAAATGAACATTTAAAATTATTGCTGGGATTATTTTTAATATTATGATCATCATCATCATCAGCTCACTATACGTTCCCACCGAGGGGCTCGGAGCCTAACCTAAGTTAAGGGTGATTAGGCCATAGTCAACCACGCTGGCCAAGTGCGGGTTGGTTGACTTCACACATATCTTTGAATTTCCTCTAAGACATGTGAAGGTTGCATCACGGTGTTTCACTTCACAATCAGAAAAAAATGCTACATCTAAAACCTTATACTATGTTGATTTGTTAATTAAATATTTCTTTAATCGTGTTTTTTACTTTATGAATTACTTTACTTTATTACTTTACTTTAATTTACTTTATAAAAAATCCTAATTAATAGACTATGTGTTCTTCCAGACTATGTTCGACATCCGTCTCAAACGTTTTTAGTCCTTTGGAGAAACCTAATAAAAAATAATTCATCCATCTAAACTTTTATAATGTTAGTAAGATATAAGACAAAAATATTAGACTTATAAGGTGATTCATCCATACATTCACACACCCGCGAACGTCCTGTAAGTCTGATAAAATGTTTTCACTTACTTCCTCAAAAGGCTCGATTCCGTCCTCCAGTTCGTTCCTGCAATTGACCTGCATGTGCAATGGGTTTAGTGTATTCGTGGATAAAGTTTTCTTGAAGTGAGGAAACCGAGGTGTCTTGATCAAATCGCAAGAAGTTAACCCAGAGGGACCCGGACGTGGGCTGCCAGAACTCGATAGAGTGAATACTTTCCCATCACGATAACTGGAACAATGGAAATAAATTATTGACTAAATTAAAATAACAAAACAAATGAAGTTAACAGTTCAAATGTTTCCGAGAACCATAGAGAACACAGATAGACGGCCCTAGTTGACAAATATATATTACAGACAAGTTGTCGCCCGCGTCTACGTCCACCAGGAATTTAAAAAAAAAATAATTAGTACCCTATGTGTTCTTCCAAACTATAATCTACATCTATGCCAAAATTCAGCGAGATCTGTGCACCCGTTCTGAAAATATCTTCAAACAAAAATCCATCTAAACATTCGACTTTATCATATTAGTAAAATAGTAATTGCAAGAGAAGGGAATAGAAAGGAGAACAAAAGAAGAGGTTAAAATTAATAATTAAATATCTACATTTAAATTAAAAATGGAAATATAATACATAGACCACACGTCCAATGAATATTATTATTGTAGTTTTATAACCATCATCTCTCTTACTGTCTTTGAACACGCTGAAATAAGATGTTTTACATGATATTTTAGCTGTAGAAATATACGGCACTGAAAGCATTTTAGTAAAAATATCAGTCAACCTGTATAAAACAACCTTACAATCATGTCTTTTTTAAAATAACAATGTTTAACTAATTGGGTCTTAGGAACTTAATTTACGCTAAACAACAAAGATGGTAATTGTCGATGTTTTTAGACATTTATTAAAATATTACGCTACTATTTGTTTAAGTATTTACTTAACAAATGATAGTATGTTACAGCATACCTAAAAATCTTGAAATGTTGGCAGCACTGAAAATGAAACATTAATCACAGTCGACTGATATAATTAAAGCCATTTATTTGGTTGCATCTTAAATAAATATACAGTGGATCACTTAAGTAAGAACAACTGTTGGTTTTTTTTACACAAGTAATCTTTTCATTTAAATGCAATTTACAAGAACAAAATTAATTTCCGAGACGATGCAAGCCACAGTGTATTTTATTTCTTTAACAATATGCACAAAGCTCGAGTGCGAAAGATAAGGGTAACCGCACAAGGACAGTTTTCAACTTAAATACAGCGGCTGCTAAAAACAACGATTTTGTTGCAGCAAACAGACTGCTTGAAGTTATCCGTGTACGGCAGCCCTTAGATGCAAAATTTATTGATTACAATCATACAAATACACCACATTGTTGTCATTACGACAAACGAATAACGCCCGTAAGGTTTACAGTTGTTGAAACAAAAACTTCTTATAGGTTAACAATTTAGAAACATCCATACAAAAATATATTGCTATCGCAGAGAATGAGAGACAGAGTTAACAACATCTTTCTGTATGAATGTATCGCCATTTTAAACCGAACGAAAAGTTAAGCAAACACTTAAAGGCACATACAAATCCATTGCTTGCATCCTATCTATTTAATATAATATTATAAATTCAAAATTCTTTGCACTTCTATTTATTATGACAAAATAATACAGACGAATTAGTAATGGTACTCGTAATAAAAAGGACAAAGGTTTATTTTAATCCAGAAAATTAAGTTAAAAACATCAAAGCGAGATAAAGACAGTTATTTACAAATTCTAACCTAATATAGAATTTAACTTCCCAATTTAATTTGAATACGATCTAAGTAGAATTTGAATCTGTAGACTAAGGAAATAGAGTAAGTGCAAGGGTTTGTTGCAAATTGTCTCTAAGTGACACAGCCTAAACAAAATAAGACTTACGAGAAGAGGTGATCATCGGAGTTGTTTTGCATCGAGTTATTCTTGCTGACAGTTTGTCTGGAGTCGCCTCGGGCTGCGGCTATGATGTAGGCCCACATGTTCACGACGCTGTCTCACTTCCAACATTAGGCTTGACTGAATTAGCTGACCAAATGTGCATGTTATCAGATGTATGTAAAATAAAAAAAAACATAAAAATATGTTTATATGTTGAGTATTTGTAACCGTGGTATTCTACAGCGCTATGAAAACGTAGGCGAATTAAAGCAATATATTCAGGTGTTTTCGTAGTGGAAATTTACTATAAGAAAAGGCATTTTGATGAGTGAAAAATAATTAAATCATCTCTTGTGTTGTGTCGTGTCTAAAGACTTTAAAGTTATTTTTTTAAAGATATTTGTCATCTGTCTTAACAGTGGTAGAGCTCGCTTCGCACAAATTGGCCCGGCTCGCCCTGTGAAATACCACGCCCACACAGAAGACAGGCGTAAAGTGGAAGCAATTCCGCGTTTCGTCTGATGTGTGTGCGTCCCGGAGGCCTAATTTAGTCTTCTTTCCCTTCCCACCCTTTTTCTTATAAGGAAAGGATGGGAAATGGAAGTGGACTTTCCGGATGAGAGGATGCATGGAAAGGGAAAATATTTTCTTTCTGTGCATCCTCTCTTCGGTCGATTAAAGTCAACGCATATGCAATTGCGTATGTCTATGGGCAACGGTCACTTCGCTATTGCAGCGATTTCAGGTGGCCGTTCGCTCGTTTGCCACCTTATGATAAAAAAATCTAGATTTAAGTTAAAGTAAGACCGAAGACTGTAGGGATGTATTGTGTGAAAAATGCCATAACGAAAGGAGTGTGTTCAGATATTACGGCTGCTAGAGATGTGTGGAAGAGTAGTATACATTGCAGGCTGATGATAATATATCTTTTAAATAAGTCTTAGTGTAATAGTGTGAAAATAATTAAGATGAGATTGGATTGTAATAAATAAACACTAAGAGGCAATTTTACCAGGTGCATCGAGTCTTTATAGTTCTGTTTATTTTCCAATTAGAATACTTTAAATTAAACAGGTGGTGTAACTTGAATCGATGGAAGATTTAATTATTTACTTGAAACATTTAAAGTAAGACTGCCTGCACAAGGTCTAGTTCAATGTAAATTACTTGCAATAGTTTTCAAACTACTTTAAGTCCAGATGAGATTTTAAATATTCTTCGATTGCAGACATTAAGATGTAATTTAAATGTACCATTTCTTCTCTTTTCCCATTTTACTTTAAATAAACCCTTGTTATTTCTATATTTATTATACTATAAAAAAAATAATTACTTTAAGTATTTTTAAACATTTTTTTCCTCAAACACATTCAATATTGGCTTGCATCGCCTAAGATGGTATTACACATGTTCCAAAAAACATGTCATCTCTGTTATTCTCTATGATTAAAATAGAAATAACAATATGTCTGTTCACACGTGTTTCATCAATGGAAACACACTGATTTATCTTAAATGTATGCAGCTGAATATGACTTCATTATTATGTTATACACGTATCTAATTTGTAAGATGTCTCTCGTTGAAACAGATTTCAATTTTTACTTATATATTCTATTATTCATTTAAAATGTATATTTGAGATAGTAGTTATTAGTTTACGATAAACTTTTGATCACGTGTAGTTTTAAATTACGTGATTTCATAGTTTAAAAATGTTAATTAAGTCCACGTTTAGTTATGATTGACTTATAAATGAAAAGTTAGATAAAAACAACTAAAACTTCTTTAAAGAAAATAATTACATTGAGTTAGGTATTCTTCAAAGTTAAAATTTCAACTTACAGCTTGTTAAAAGTATGTTATTTCGTTATTAATTTATACGATGCATAAAAATGTTATGCCTGGTTAGTTCCAATTCACATATCTTTTAAAGTTTTCTTCGTGCTTTGGAAATACATATTTATACAATGATGTTTATGTGCGCACAGGATTTTATTTATAACATAAGGGGGCAAACGTGCATAAACACCGAGGTGTTAAAGACACCCATGGACATCAGCAATACCAGAGGAACCGCAGATGCCTTGCCGGCCTTTGAGACGCTTCTTGAAGGACCCTAAGTCGTAGAGGTTAGGAAATACCGCCGAGGACACACCATTCCACAACGCTGCTGTGCGAGGCAGGAAGTTTCGCGCAAACCGCACGATTGTGGATTGCCAGCTATCAGATGGAAGATTTTTTAAATATTTTTTATATATGTTTCTGCTACTATTATAAAGATTTGCTTGTTTGTTTGATTGATTAAACTATTTATGTTTAATATTTGCTATTATTTTTATTTTTTGTACGTTTTATACTTCTTATTCTATTGATTATTACAATTGACACATTGTGGGTCGTTTAGTTGGTAGTTATTACAAGCCAAGCGCTGGTAACTAAATTAAAAATCTCACTTTTATAACAGCCAACCTAATTAAGAGCTACTAAGAAGTTCTTCATAATTTTCATATTAAGTTACTTAACTGTAATATTTCATAATTACCATATTGAGCTTCTATCGAAAGTTAAATCTGTAGTAAAAGGAAAGTGTGGTAGCATTGGCATCTCGCAACGACACCTATTTAGTATTCTTGACTCATCGACTTGAAATTGTGAGGGCTTATTCATGGTAGCTGTGGGTATTGATTATCGCGTAAAGAGTCATTTTACTGAGCTGCATTTTATGGGAGTGTCACCTGACTTACCGCGTGGGGTGTTCAACATGCTCCTTCAATTGTTTCCTTTTTTAATGACCTTTAGAGCTTTTAGTAGTATTTTTTAATGGCAAGAAGTGTAATGCAAAAAAGTATTTTTTGCTATATGTCCTAACATGTATGTAGAGATATAGTCCCTCTGGAACTTTATAAGTTACTACTAAATAATGATTAAATCAAAGCATGTTTGGATACAGGAATTTTATATATAAATTGTGGTGTCACAATGTTTGTTACTCTACTCCTCCGAAACGGCTTGACCGATTTTTATGTAATTTTGTATGCAAATTCTGTAAGTCTGAGAATCGGCTACTATTTATATTTTAATCCCGAGAGAACAGAATCGCGGGCGGCAGTTAGTCAAATATAAATTTGTAAGTATCTTCAATCTATTGTTAAAGAACTAAAATTTTCCTGTTATATCGAATTCGGATTTATTAATATCTAGGATTTTTAACGTTTACTGGATATCAGTTTTAGTAATTGTTAATGATTTTGATGTTAATGAAGATTTTTCTTGCACTTAGTAGAATTTAACTTTAATCAAAGTTTTATTCACTATTTAGTTTTGTCACAACGCTACGAACACATCAACATCTAATCACGAAGCCAAACGATTCGACAACTTTGTTTACTCTACAATACAAACTAAACCTTGATGCGAGCAAAATAAATACGATCTTACTTTTTAGTATATTCCATACTTAAGTTATAACAATAATAAAAATCTTACTGGCCAGTAAAGGTAGTAGCATACTAACTAATATTTCACCTTAGTATTTTCATAATTTATTATTTTTTATTTTCTTAGAATTATTTTCATTTAATTATTCCTTACAATTATTGTTCCAGAATAACGTATTAATATATTTCAAATTAAATGAGCAGAAATTAATTCTCGTAAGTAATTATTTTACTTATCATTATAACTTTTAAGATTATCGGTTGTTCAATTTCTATAATAATATTAAAAGCAAATGAAAGTACTAATAAGTATTAAACGCAATTCCATAACAAATTTTAATACTTGTTAACAATTAAACATATTGGAAAGTAAGTTAAATTCTCTGTTGTTTGAACGTGCTATGATAAATTTATTAGTAATTTTACGAATGAATTGTTTTGATTTGTACGTCAAAGCTACAATACGAATACATTCCGTTCAATTGATTAATTCGGACAAACGGCTGATAGCAACGCGGTCAGATATTTCACTCGATTCGATGATAACATAATAAAGTTCATTTATCTGACACCAAATTATATAGACCGCTGTGACGTGAAAAGAAAATTTTAAAAGTTTACATAAATAACAGGAAAATTAATATAAACAGAACAGAAAATAAACCAAGGAGTACTTAAACATTTTGAAATAAATACAAATTAATAAACACCTTTTCGAAGACCACTAAAAGGGAAGGGGAGTAGAATTTTACAATGTAGGATATATAGGCAAATTAACTTTTCGTAAATTCTCTCCTCTGTCTATTAAAATTAGGCAATTAGGTAAAATATTGATGTCTATGTTCAGAGTTCACTTCGTTATTTTTTGATCAGCTGATAGAATGTTCGTTTGAAAAGTGTTATAAAATTTTTATACCTTTTTCCGTACAGTGGAATTATTTTTAATCTGATTTTTCTACGAATACCTGTTGATTCAGTTTTAAATTCATTGCATTGGTTATAATACTTTTGATGTAAGTAACTCCTGAATATAAAAGAGCTTTTGTGTCATAAACTGTACATGATTAAAGTCATCTTTTTAAAGTGAGCAAATAAACTGTATTAATTTCAAATACCATTGAACCGTAGTAGTTGATTGAAAGCCTTTAAATGATTCCATTTTACCTACCTCAAGCATTGATTTGAATATTAACCATATTTTACGTTTGTGCTGCTTTCTATTTATAGTAGTGACACTAATATATATGCTACGTAGATTTTTTTCAATTCCTAATATTTGTTTGGTATAGAGATAAATAAGTTAAGTAAATAATAATAATTTTACTTGCGTCATAAAATAATTTTGCATTGTCTGATAGCGAAGTGCTTCGACCAACATCTTAAGAAGCTTTCGTTAAACATTTGTTTTAAGGGTCCGATTCAAAAGGTAGTTATTTTAGAAACCGCGCGCATCGTGAGAAGCTTCCTGTCTCTGCAGCCCTGACCGATGGTTGAGTCATGGGATTCCGCACCTGGTTGTGCTCTATTTTTTATATTATATATTCGTTTTGTATATAAAACATATTATGTGTAAAACAAGAAAAATAAATGAATACGAATTTTAATTTATATTTATCTCCCTAAATATATAA